CGTTTTCTCTTAAAGTCAGAGATGATTGGGGCTCCCAGGCGAACCCCCATAATGTCGTCACGACATAACGTTTCCGTTCCCTCCATCAGGGAACAAGGGTTACGTACGTAACCGAGACATTCCAGATAAATGACTACCGCTGTTTCTCTCACAGGTGCACATCATGGTGAATAAACTAAGATCAGGCCTTTTCTCTCTGCACACAAACTCAATCCTAGAAGCAGCATTCCTCACCGCCGTTTATGGATTCCTCAGAAGAGGAGAATTCACTATTAACAACGAAATATTTGACCCTTCACACCCCTCACAAACAAAGACATATCATTTCACACCGATTACTTTTCCATCTATCTGAAACATTCCAAAACAGACAGAGATAATAACGGAAGTACTATCAACATTTCTAGAACCAACAACGGATACTGTCCCCTCACAGCCATGAACCGGCTGGTAAACTCACGCAGTAAATCCAATCCTACAGATCCACTTTTCATCACAGAGAAAGGAGAAGCTATGTCCAAGCATTGGTTTGCCTCACGTCTCCGAACCGCATGCCTCCATTGTGGCCTGCACCCTGCGCTTTATACCAGCCATTCATTCCGCATAGGTGCGGCAACCATCGCAGCTTCAACAGACTCCATACCCATGCTCAAAGCAATGGGTCGGTGGTCATCATCAGCGTACCAACGATACATTAGGCCTTCAACTCAGGACGTAATACTAGCGCAAAAAGCCTTGAGCAGCTGTTCCATATAAAAAAAAAATAAAAAATCCTCTGCATCTCGTAGTATCACGATACCATAAGGGGCACGCTGCTCTCCTACCCCTCATGCCAATCTCAGGGACATGCTGCTTTGTTCTTGTGGTTCTCCCGCTGGAGAGAACACCACTGCTGCTTATTCGGGGCCAGCCGCAGTCCCTCGCAAAGCTTTGCAAAAAAAAAGAAAAAAAAAAGGGGACTGCTGTTTTCTCCCGCTGGAGAGAACACCCTTTGCTGCTATAACTGCAGGGGCCTGCTGTTCTATCCCTCAGCGAGGGCCGAACACCCCTCGCTACTTAAAATTAAAGAGGGGCCTGCTATTCTCTCCCTTTTTAGAGGGGAGAATACCCCTCCGCTAGCCAGTAAGCTACATCAAGAATATCTCATAACATTGTCTTTTCTCTTTTGCAGGAATGGAACAAGGATGGTTTTGGGGGGGTTCTTCTTCGGGCAAGTTAATACCTCTTATTATGTTTGGGGGGTTAATGTTAAAGCTCTTGTATGGTCAATTTATTCTGGAGCAAAGAACCCCCATAGGAACCATACCGCCAAAGATAAATTGTGTTTCAATAAACTCAAGTAACTTGCCAAAGTGGTCCTGTCTGAAATCGAGCGCAGCGTTAGTTCAGTCAGGCCACGTAGGCATAGGCTGCGACCAGCTGATGCGGTCAGCTGTCAAATCGCTCCAATCGCTCCAATCACTACCATTCTCCTATTAGATACGGGACATATATACGTGGCATTACTGCTCGGTAAGTATGCTCAAACTGCTCACAACCCTCCCTCCCCACTATAAGCATGATCCACTCCATCCACTCCACTTATACCTGAAACACAAATACATTTGAGTGATAATTATACTACATATTAATAAATGAAACTTTATTGTATGCATATATACACTGAACTCCTTCACAGGAGTTTAAAGCACATGTAGAATTGTGTTTACCTGTGAGAAGTGAAGAGAGAACGATCAGTCCCAGCAGACACACATGACACTCATCAGACATTTTCTCTTTTTCTCAGTCTTCCTCTTCATTATATGATCTCAATTCTTTCTTTAAATACTATCAGCTCTTCCTGTGGTTCTTCACTTCCTCTGATCTACAGACTGAGTGATATTCTGATAGAGTTGCTATTTAGTGACTCAATGCCAGTGTATAATGAAGACGTGCTGCTTCACATTTATCTTGTAAATATTGATGAAATATTTTATTTTTCATATAGAAGACATTTGTATGAGGTTATTTATTTTTATTTTTTTATAATATGAAAGCCAGATGCATTTTGAAGTCCTCATGGTCGACATGGCTGTTAGTGTGTCTGGAGGATGAGTAATGTGTATGTTGCACGCAAAGATTATTAAACCGTTGGCATCTCATGTGTAATGTATGTGCCTCTGGAGACCTCTGGGTTCCTGGAAAGGGTTAAATACAATTTTATTTAAAAAAATAGACAAACAGGTAAAATCCCACAATTAAAATAGAACTAGAGGAGCTAATGAATAACTGTAGATGGTGAGGGGAGTAACACACATCAAGAACTGGCCATATGCTTATTGGACGATGAGTGATAACAAAACTGTATAAGAATAGTAGCCTTAAAAGAGACCATTTCAGATGAACTGCTGGCATCTCGGCTTTGTTGTCTTTGTGCAATAAAGTATAATTTTGACTTCTGGAACTCAGTGTCTCGACTGATTCTTCTGAGAGCAAACCGAGTTTCTCCATAACAATATCCACTCGAAATCAAGAAGATTTCACTACTAATATGTCTTTTCGTTAACGCTTAAATGTAATGTACAGTACACTTATAGTGTAATAGGAACAGTCTCTCAAGAGAAACCTGTGGTTGATGGTCAATAGTAAGAGCTCAGGCAGGTTTAACCTGCAGTCATTCTGTAAACACCTCGAGAGTCGAGCGCTGACTGATGCCAGTGTTGTGTTGAACTCTGTTCCTCCTATGTTTCTTATCTGTTTAACCCTTACAATAACCATAACCACTGACCTGGGGAAACACAAGACTCTGACATGACAGTGGCTGTGAAACATGTTCTTCAGAACTGTATATTGTTAACCACACTGACTCAACACACATCTGCTCTGAACACAAACTATTGCATTACTGTTGTTTCACTTCTTTCTTTTGGTAGTTCCCCTCATGGTGTTAAATTTTAGAAACAAGGTCATTGAGTTATTAGTGATAAAACTGGTTTGTTACCAAAAAGGGTATTCACTATCAATGAGTTGCTTCCTTCAGTCATAATGAGAACAATATTACCATATTATGCCATAGTCTGTCAAACTTGCTGTCCACCATTTTGAAAATCTTTGAAACTCTATTTTTTCTAACACCTTCTAGACCGCTGGTCTGAATTTAGGCAAAAAAAAAAAAAAAGTAACACTTTAGATTACAGCCCACAATTTACAACAGAAGTAAACATTATTTACAGCATAACTTTTGTAGTTACAGTGTACCTATACAGTACCTCCGTGTAGGTATAAAGGGAATAATATGCGAAGTTTGGAGAATAAAGGGGAAACAACCTGGAAAATTACAAATCATTTATACTGCAAGTATTTTGAAACTATTTTAATATTACGTGGTATGCATGACCTACTGTGAAAAACAGCAATCTTACTGTCACACATCTGTGTCGAAGGTACTGACACAAAGATGAAATTCAACAAATAAACAGCTTTAATAATCCACAGGAAGGTAATGCAGACAGGGCAGGTAGTGACACACGAGGATTAGACATTCAAGACCCAACAACAATGAACAGAAGGGAGTAACTTAAATACATGGACCAAACGAGGATAATTAACAAGACTGATGAAATTAATTAACTAACTGATGAAATCAATGGGAGACAGAAACTAGGTCAAAGGAACAAAACTAAACAGGAGAACGGGAAATGAAAGAAACACAACAAAAGTCGGTAACGCTTTAGATTACAACCCGCAATGTACTGCGTAAGTAAACAGAATTTACAGCGTAACTTTTTTGTAATTACAGTGTACCTATTCAGTACCTCTGTGTAGGTATAAGGTAACAATATGCGAAGTTTGGAGAATAAAGGAGTAATAATCTGTAAAATTACAAATTATTTCTACTGTAAGTATTTTGAAACTAAGCGGTACCTATTCTAATATTACAGGGTATGTATGACCTAACAATCTTATATTTGGGTCTCGATCACCAAAACACAATTCCAAATTATACATACAGATACACAAAAAAATAGAAAGTAAAGGAGGTGGCCAGCAGGAGTCCTCAGCCTTCCACCCAACTCGAAAATAAGAAAAAAACACTTGTGAAAGCACAACAAACTTATTAAATCACAACACTCTGTGTACACATTACAACCACAGCTGGGCTCTCCCACTATACAAGTTGACTGAAAAATACAACAAAAGAAATTACAAAAATCACAAAATACAGAAAACAAAAACCTAAACAAAATTACACTCCGAAACAAAAAAAACAAAACCACAGATAGTCAAATATCTGCTCAAGGAAACAAATAACTCACACAACCACAATACAAACCCTCCCCACACACACACACACACACACACACACATACATACGCACACAAGCATATATGGCATAAACAAACTCACGAACGTAACCAAATTAATCAAGATGAGACCCAGGCAAAACAGCAGCGCCGTCACAGCAGTGGATGTATTCTGCCCCAAACTAACAAAAATCACAGAAACCCTTGCACGTGCAGTTACCTGCCGAACATGGAAAAGTGAGTTACTCACAATACACTGAGAATTAAAAACAAGGAAACTCACAATTATACATACCGCGGGAGCGTTATGGCGGCGTACTACACATCGTTACCAGTCATAGGAAATGCAGGCTATTTGTGTGACGACAACTACAAACATAACAAATCAGCCTCTCTTGTTAATAAACAAAACTCCTTTTAACAACTAAACAAGCCTACCTGTAAACCACCGTGAGCGTCCAACACACAGCAGCCGGAAAACCAGAAACAACGATCCTGGCGGTAACAAGCACATTGATATTACCATCCCCTGTATCCTTCCACAAATTTGCGGCTTCACCGCTACTACACCTACCGTCAATTCACAATGGAAGGACCCACAAAAAGGGGCAGTACCACCAATGGCGCATCCCAAGCCACAAAACACTTCCGTTTTTATAATCCCCACAACAAGCTCTGATAGGTTTAAAGTTCCAGCATAACCTCAGCCAATAGCAATAAGGGTTATACCACCCTGCTACATTCCACGCCCACATTAGGTATCGGCGCCCCGACGATAAATCTCCTAACCCCAACAATCAATACCAAGGCCTGAAGAGAGCCATCAATGAATTAGCTACTACACCAGTGGGTGTCCTAACACCTACTACAGCCTCACCCACTGACCTTGGCAAGCGATGAACATTTGGATGTTGGCCTGCGGTTGGCCGCCTCGACCTTCGCAACGCAGCTTCATTTTCCTGGGGCAAACCGCCGGATGATGGATCTGGGGGTAGTACGAGACCTACCTCCACATTACTAAAATGGCTTGCCCCATCCAAACCGTCAAGAGTTCCCACACCTGAAGCTAGCTTCTCCACAGGGACAGAAGCACCTACCCCCTGTAATTCTGGTAGAACCACCCACAAATACACCTCATCAACACCATCCTCTGCATTCACTTCTGCACCCACTAAAGGACCCTCTTCACTATTCCCCACAGGCTGTTCAGGGTCCACTGAAGGACCTGTATCGGAGCATCTGAAGCCACTAAAAAAGCACCACAGACTGTCTGGGAGCTAATTGATGCCTTGATCCAGGTCTGGGAGGAGATCCCAGATTGCCAAAACACAATCTGTTATCTCATCAAGAGCATGCCTAGATGTTGTCAGGTGTGCATTTCCATTATTATGAGTTGCCATTGTGGCAAAGGCAGTCAAATTGGAAGCATTTACAAAACTAATATCTAACTATTAAATCGACTACGCCACCCAGAATACACTGGGAAATAACCTTATCAAAAGGCACATAGGTTCGCTACCAAGACAGGGTGAGCATGGAGACGTGGACAGGACATATAAAGACAAGCACTTTATTGAAATACAAAAGTTAAAACCACACCATACAATAATTCTACACAAGGTCTCGATCACCAAAACACAATTCCAACTTATACATACAGATACACAAAAAAATAGAAAGTAAAGGAGGTGGCCAGCAGGAGTCCTCAGCCTTCCACCCAACTCGAAAATAAGAAAAACACACTTGTGAAAGCACAACAAACTTACTAAATCACAACACTCTGTGTACACATTACAACCACAGCTGGGCTCTCCCACTATACAAGTTGACTGAAAAATACAACAAAAGAAATTACAAAAATCACAAAATACAGAAAACAAAAACCTAAACAAAATTACACTCCGAAACAAAAAAAAACAAAACCACAGATAGTCAAATATCTGCTCAAGGAAACAAATAACTCACACAACCACAATACAAACCCTCCCCACACACACACACACACACACACACACATACATACGCACACAAGCATATATGGCATAAACAAACTCACGAACGTAACCAAATTAATCAAGATGAGACCCAGGCAAAACAGCAGCGCCGTCACAGCAGTGGATGTATTCTGCCCCAAACTAACAAAAATCACAGAAACCCTTGCACGTGCAGTTACCTGCCGAACATGGAAAAGTGAGTTACCCACAATACACTGAGAATTAAAAACAAGGACACTCACAATTATACATACCACGGGAGCGTTATGGCGGCGTACTACACATCGTTACCAGTCATAGGAAATGCAGGCTATTTGTGTGACGACAACTACAAACATAACAAATCAGCCTCTCTTGTTAATAAACAAAACTCCTTTTAACAACTAAACAAGCCTACCTGTAAACCACCGTGAGCGTCCAACACACAGCAGCCGGAAAACCAGAAACAACGATCCTGGCTGTAACAAGCATTGATATTACCATCCACTGTATCCTTCCACAAATTTGCGGCTTCACCGCTACTACACCTACCGTCAATTCACAATGGAAGGACCCACAAAAAGGGGCAGTACCACCAATGGCGCATCCCAAGCCACAAAACACTCCCGTTTTTATAGTCCCCACAACAAGCTCTGATAGGTTTAAAGTTCCAGCATAACCCCAGCCAATAGCAATAAGGGTTATACCACCCTGCTACATTCCACCCCCACATTATGTATCGGCGCCCCGACGATAAATCTCCAAACCCCAACAATCAATACCAAGGCCTGAAGAGAGCCATCACTGAATTAGCTACTACACCAGTGGGTGTCCTAACACCTACTACAGCCTCACCCACTGACCTTGGCAAGCGATGAACATTTGAATGTTGGCCTGCTGTTGGCCGCCTCGACCTTTGCAACGCAGCTTCATTTTCCTGGGGCAAACCGCCGGATGATGGATCTGGGGGTAGTACGAGACCTACCTCCACATTACTAAAATGGCTTGCCCCATCCACACCGTCAAGAGTTCCCACACCTGAAACTGGCTTCTCCACAGGGACAGAAGCACCTACCCCCTGTAATTCTGGTAGAACCACCCACAAATACACCTCATCAACACCATCCTCTGCATTCACTTCTGCACCCACTAAAGGACCCTCTTCACTATTCCCCACAGGCTGTTCAGGGTCCACTGAAGGACCTGCACTGGATCCGGGAGCAAAACTCCCTTGAACCTGTGCCTTCAACAATGAACGGTGGACCCGCTTCACCTTAGCCACGTCCTCCACTGGTGCAACAGTATATACAGAGCCACCTACCCTAGGCGCTTCCATAACCCTATAGACCACAGAACTCCACACATCTTGAATCTTTTGACGCCCTCTCATACTGCACTCAAACTCATTAACTCATTTCACTAGATGTCCAGTTTTGTTGTTCAGTATTCTCCATCATGTCCATCCTTTAATAATAGAATGTGTACCCCATGGTTAAAAAATACCTATACGCCTATAATAAAATACCAATATAAAATTATAAAAAGTATATATCGTCTTTCTAAATCATTCCCAAACATAAGATTGTTGTTTAGGCCATACATACCACGTAATATTAGAATAAGCACCTCTTAGTTTCAAAATACTTACAGTATAAATGATTTGTAATTTTACAGGTTGTTACCCCTTTATTCCCCAAACTTCGCATATTATTCCCTTATACCTACACGGAGGTACTGAATAGGTACACTATAATTACAAAAAAGTTACACTGTAACTTCAGTTTACTTACGCAGTTCTTTGCAGGTTGCATATCTGGTTGTTACCCCCTTATTACCCAAACGTAACACATTGTTCCCTTATACCTACACGTATGTTCTTTATAGGTACACTATAATTACAGAAACGTACACCGTAAATTCAGTATACTTACATAGTTCTTTGCGGGTTGTAATCTAAAGCGTTACCCACACTTGTAAATAACATATCTGTACATTCATTTAAACAATTAAATTTTTATACTTCTACTTCTGTACATAGTGCATTATTAAATTTTCTGTTTCTTAGTGTTATATTCCATCCTGTGTATGTCTGCACTATCATGTATGTTTGCACGATGTCCGTACTTTCTTCTGCACTGAAGCTCTCCCTGTGTGTGTACACAAGTATACTCGGTAATAAAGCTCTTTCTGACTTCAGACTAATCTGGGTTCAGAGATGATCTCTACTCTACTGCGGTCAAACTGACTGGGTTCTGAGAAACATGTTTCCAATCCACAACAGTGAGATCATTAAGCCTTTTGGGTTCATAGCAAAGAGTTAAATCAAGTGATTAAAACTTTTAATCTAATTATTACACGGTGTAATTTAATCAATCTAATTAATCACACGTCAAATTTGGCTGAGAAATGAACCCTGGAGATAATTTAAAGTCATTATTGTGTTAACCTTTTAACCCGCACCGGCCCGAAGGGCGTGTTTAGGCGTGTCTGTGCTTTTAATTACCTTTGTTTTAAAACAATATTCAATCAACTATCATAAACTATATTTCATTTGACAGCTAAAACACTCAAGATCCATGTTCTGAGCTTGTTTTTAAATCAATACACCAGAGAGGAAAGGGTTAACATAAATGCTGAAGGACCGGCCATTAAAACATGTACAAAGTGAACGCAGTACTTACGTTTCATCGCCTATAGTTCTGGTCAGCTCGGACTATTCCAAGAAACACCAGCACAACATTTCAAGATAAGGGTCCACTCTTCAAAATGCATCCCACTTTTTAATCCAAAACAACGAAATAATACGGGGAAAAAACGAAAGATCCTCCTTAGTTTACTGCATATGAATTTAGTATTTTTTTTATATCATTACATTGTTTAGAGCATAAGAAAAAATGGAAAAAAAATAACATTTTAGAAAAATTTTATTTTTTTGTATGTTATGCTGTCTTCTGTAGAGAACACCAGGACTTAGCATTCATTCAGTTCGTATTTTTTAGTTATAGTAAAAACAAATAAAAATAAAAAAACCTTATTCAAATGTCTTCTATAGGATAAATAAAATATTTCATCAATATTTACAAGAGAAATGTGAAGCAGCATGTCTTCATTATGCACTGGTATTGAGTCACTAAACAGCAACTCTATCAGAATATCCGTCTGTAGTTATAATAATAATAATAGTCTGTAGATCAGAGGAAGTGAAGAAACACAGGAAGAGCTGAAAGTATTTAAAGAAAGAGTTGAGATCATATAACGAAGAGGAAGACTGAGAGAAAGAGAAAATGTCTGATGAGTGTCATCTGTGTCTGCTGGGACTGATCTTTCTCTCTTTACTTCTCAAAGGTAAACACACTTCTACATGCTCTTTAAACTCCTGTGAAAGAGTTCAGTGTATATATGCATACAATAAAGTTTAATGTATTAATATATAGTATAATTATCACTCAAATGTTCTTGTGTTTCAGGTTCCAGTGGAGTGGATGAGACTCATGTGTTCATCAGTTCTGGTGAAAATGTACGTCTGCCCTGTAATAATGCTCTTCCTGACTGCACATCAACTGTATGGTTCTATAACAGTTATTCAGCAGCAGTTGAACTGATTTATTTAGGGATAAAGAAGAAAGACACAGAGAGTCATGAGAGACTGAGTCTGGGGTCTGACTGCTCTCTGAACATCAGGAACATCTCAAAAGAAGATTATGGATATTACAGCTGCAGACAATATGTGAATGGAGACCAAAAACAAGGAACTGATGCTCGTGTTTATCTGCATGTTCTTCATGGTATTTTTATGATTATGTGGTCAATTTGAAAAAGGCAAATTCTTAATTTAATCTCTCCTGATGATTGAAGAGTCTGTGATTTGTGTCTTATTTTGTGTTTCAGTCTCTTCCTCCTCCTCCTCATCCTCACAGACTGAGATCAGTGCAGGCCGCTCTGTGACTCTCTTCTGTCAGTTGTACTCATATGCTGAAGTCTCTTGTGATGATTTGATGCGTTCTGAGAGAATTGAGCTGTTCTGGGTGAATCAGACTGGTGTTAAACTGACGAGATCAGACTCCAGATATCAGATATTATCCTCATCAGATCACTGTATCATCACTCTGAATACAACACTCCTGAATGAAGATCACAACAGAGAGTGGAGATGTGAAGTTACTCACAGAGATCAAGTCAAGAGCTCAGTCACATACACTGTCAAGAGTTCAGGTGAGAAAACAAGCTCATCAATCAGTTATGGAAGAGTCTGTTAGATGTGCAATTATAATACTAATGCTAAAGTTATCTTGTGTGATTAAAATATGATTGTCATAATCTAGAGTTGTCATAATCTACAGTTGTCATAATCTAAGCTGAACTAATATTCATCTTTCACAGCTCAAACTAAAACAGCGACAGCAGTGATTCCAGT